CCCCACCCCCGCTGATCTGAGACTAGGGGAGCTCAAGCAGTTACAGAGAAGTGGCTGCAAATACAGATAAAGCTTTGTGCTGGCCTGTGCTCACCTCCTGCTATGTGGCCCAGTTCCTAGCAAGTCATACACCAGTACCCTAGGGGTTGGGGACCCCTGACCTAGACAACTTCTTCCTTTTTAAATGACAGAACCACAAGTTAAGAAGTTGGATAGTTAATTCAAGGTCAGTTGGCTTATCAGAGGCCAGTCTACAAGCTAAGCTTAATTCAAAAGAATGTTATTTGGCTCCACTTCCTCAAATGACCAATTTTTTGAGCATTTATGTGTACTAGAAGCTGAACTGGAGAAATAAGAATTCCTAGGAGCCATACTAACATATCTCTACTACAGTAGTGGAAAGTATTAACTGATGTACTAGAAGTATGTTCTCCGAGCACTGAGAAGAAAACAACAAATTCTGCCATGAGCTGGCTGGCAAAGGTGTCACGTCCATTGAGAGACACACACATGTGAATATTTCTTTTCCATTAAAAAAAAAATTCCCTAGGCTAATAATAAAAATTTGAGGCAACCTCTAAAACCTTAAGGTTCCTGTCCTTGACCTCAGTGCTCTTACTTTTAAAAGAAAGAGAAAACCTTGATAGAATCAAACCAAAAGCCTCATCAAATGACAACAGATTATTTTGTCTGTGGGAGTGACGTAATCTAAGTAAACAAATTAAATGAGACAAAGTATATAAAATGCTTAGCATAGTGCCAGGTAAATAATATGTGCTTCATAAATGTCCGTGTTCATTCATTCATTATTAGATAAGCATCATTATGACTTGGGTGGAAACTCTCAGACATCAATTCATCAATTCAATGCCTGAAATGACTATAGAATGCTCTGAAGGCAAGGTGAGACTACAAGAAGCAGTTTCTAAATATTCTTTAGAGGAACATAGACCCCCTTTCGGTGCTCCGCATCCCCTCATCCCCAATCAAAAGAGTTGGCACCCCCAATACCCAATCAAAAGAGTTGGCAATTGTCAAATTCTGCCCACTGCCTCAACCAGTCTTCCAAGAGCGCACCCTGTGGGCTCTTAATAATAATAACTTTTGTCATTTCCAGGGATTTGGTTCTGAGAAATTGCATCATTCCAACTGCCCCCTGGCGAACCATCCGGGAGTAACAGCACGTTTTCTGCGTTGCTGGGATATGATGCTAAATAAGAAACTGCCACCAAGTGAAACTAATTCTTCTAAGAACCAGGTTGAGCTTTGGGTGACCCGGACTGACTCTCTCATCTAGTTTATTATTAGAATTAAGTCCTACAACTTTTTAAAAAGTGTGTATGCACACGCACATGCACTATAAGAATGTATTTCTACAGGACATGCATGGTCTGAAGGCTGCAGGGGCCCAGACGTGCTTCTCCCGGGGGGAGGGGAGGGGGGAGGCGCGGAGGGCAGCGCCTGGGTCACAGAAAGTCCCCGGGCCGAATGGCTTTCCACGGCGACGCTACTTTCTCCTGGGCAGTTAGCAAAGAGGCAACTGCTCCGGGGCCTGGAGGTCGACCTGACGCGGGGCTTTGTCCTTTCCGGGCCTCCTGCCGCCTCGGCCCGCACCCGGGAACCGCCCTGACCCGGCACCAGGACTCAGGAAGCGCCGGCCCCGCGCCCGCCGCCGCCGCCGCTGCTTCGCGGCGGGGCAGGGGAACCCGGTTCCCGCAGCCGGATGAATAATGAATGGAGCCTGCAGGGGACACCGAGAGCCCGGAGCTGTGGGTTGCGCGCTCCCCTCCCCCTCCTGAAGCCCTCGCAGGGCGACTTTCCCGGCTCCTCCGAGCAGGTGGGAAGCTCACAGCCTCTAGTGCCCGGGGCCCGGTATCCCGTGACCCCGAACTCTTGATTCACTTATTCATTTACTTCTCTGGCTGAGCCCAGATTGCTTCTGAGATCACGGCCACTACTCTCACACGCCTCCTCTCCCCAGCTCCGGGTTTTTACTCACAGATTGGAGCCAGGGAGAAAAAAGGGGGATAGGAGGGCGAGGTAAAAGACTAACCCAAAACTCCTATTAACCACCCCCCACCCCAGCACCCCACCACCCCCACCTCAAGGAAAGCTGGCGGGTTCGCGTCTCTGCACCGGGGAGATTTCTTCTAATGCAACTGAATTGCCCACGTCCAGGACACGCTCCAGCCACTTCTAAAATCTTAAACTGTACTTTAGGGGGAAACTAATCGGGGCGAGGGGGGCAGAAGGGCGGCGAGGCTTTTATGTGTGTTATGGAGAAGTATATACACAGCTACGAACGATTTATTCGCGCCTCCCCTACCTCCACTAGCTGCCTTCTCTTGGGGGGAAGGGGATTGAGGAAAGGAGAATCCAGTCTCAAAGACGCCACCTCGATTCCCCGCCCCAGCCAAAAGTCCTCGAGGCAAAGAGGGAGGCCGCGGCGGGGTTGGTGATGTGAACGCAAAGCAATCGGGAGCAGGAATCTTCTCGGTTCGAAAGCCCACCCAGCTCCACTCCCTCCCCCCACCAAAAAAACTTCCTCCTGACCCACAATACCATTAGACCTGCTGAGCTTTTAAACTGCAGCGACACACACGCGCGCACGACCCCGCGCCCTCACCTTCGGAATGAGGCAACGCTGCGAATTCCAGCACCAGGACCAGCCCGAGCCACACTCTGGGGACACCCATCGCCGCCTCGGCACCCACGCCGGAGACCAGCCTTCAGCATCCGAGAACCGGCTCGAGGCCGGAACGCTGGCGTCGGCGCCCCAGCCCGGGCGCACAGAGGGGCGGGGGACAGCTGGGGGCTCCCTCTGGGGAGATGAGCCGGACGCGCCGCGGGCGACAGTCACATCCCCTGGAGGCGCCTGGCGGGCTGGGGGTTCGATCCCCTCCCTGCCTGGTCGGAGAGCGAGCCTAGCCCCCCTGCTAGCAGGACTCCCACGCGGGCCGCGCGTTGGAGGAACCTGGAGCGGAGCACGGATCTCCCAGCGAAGTTGCGCCTGAAAGTTGCGGGTCGCCGGCGGCCGGATCCCCGGCGTGGCCCTCGGGTCAGACCCTTCCGCTCCCGGACCCCGACCGCGGAGATTTGGCGCGGGTCTGTCCGAAGCAGCTTTGTAAAGTTCGCTGGCGCCGTACGTCGGCAGGGGAGGTCGCCGGGAGCCCCCAAGGATCCACCCGGACCCACAGCTCGGCCGGGCCACCCTCTCGGAGGATCTCCTGCTCCGGGCGCCTCTCGCTGGAAACTTTGGGCAGCGCTGTGGGCAGCTCGGGACTCGCCCGCCGCAGCCCGCCGTCTCGGTGCGCCCCTGCAGCAGGCGGCTCCAAGCTTCCCAGGAAGGACTGGAGGAGCTGCTGCCTCCTCCTCGCCTCCGCCCCTCACCCGGGCGAGGGGGGCTGCGGGGCGCGGCTTGGCCACGCCGACAGCCACCTCCGCGCCCAACGCGGAGCTGGTGTGCGGGTGGAGGTGCGATTACCGGAGCGGAGGAGCCATCATCTCAAAAGGCACGGAGGAAGGAGCTAGAGAGGCTGGAGCAGAACCCCGGACTCCACGCCGCCGGGGCGAGAGGGTCGGAAACGCCTGGCACGGGCCGGGTCTGGACCCCCGCGTTAGAAGGACACGCCGCCTTCCTCCGTCTCCCTCCTCTCCCCTCTGCTGTGTGAAAATGGACCCAGGGACTCGGAGCTTTGGCAAAGATTCCAGAGAGTCACGTGGGGAAGGGGAGCCGCCGGGAGGGGGGCGGGGGAGGCCGAGAGAGCAACCTGATCCCTTTATTCATTCTGCCGGAGTTCAGATTGGCTTTGTCTGGGGCGGGATCAAAAGTGGTCACACCGGGGGCGCAGGGGGTGGAGACAGGTGGCGCGGTCCTTGCTCAGGCACAGCAGAGGGCCTGCGGACCGCGTCCACACCCCTCACTTGGGGAGACACCAATTCGGGGGGGGCGTGTATCCACAGCAGAGGTCCTTGCGCTGCCCGCCATCCCCACGGCCCGATATTCCTGCCGGACTTAAGTGCGTGGGGCGGGCCTGATCCTTCTTCCTCACTCTGGGACCCTCGGATCGTCGCATCCTGGGTTTTGCCAGCAGCCTGGGAGGACCTTGGCGTGTGTCGATGCCAAAGCCTCCCACAGCGAGTGCACCTTCACTTCTCCCCAGACACGCTGTCAGTGGAACACAGCTCGGTGTCGGCGCGGTGGCTCCAGCTGCGCCCCCAAACGCCGGCGACTGGGAAATGCAGGGCAAGGCCGACTGGGGCGCGCATTGAACAGCCGAGGCCTTGATTCGCCTCCAGGACTGACTGACGGCAGCTATTTTTATAGAACTCAATAAAAATAGCTGGTCCAGCTCCAATCATTTATGAGAAGGGAATGGTTGCATCAGAGAGATGCTACTGGGTTGTGATTGGCCCAGAGCAGAGACATCCTGGGTCCCCCAGTTGAGCCGAGATGGGGGAGCGAGTTGGAGGGTGTGGAAGCACGGAGCGAGCTGTGTGGCGGGGTCCCACTCGTCTCCAATCGTCCCTGGCACCATCACGCAGGCCCGCGTCCTCATGCGCACTGACGCTACTTGGAATGACTGACTTTTCAAAATAAGTCGTAACCGACAGGTCCCTGTGACTGTTACTATTCAACCTGAACAAAGACGAAACCTCAGACAACCTGCCTCTGATTCTTAGTATTTGGAGGACCCGAGGGCTGTGCAACTCGCCCTCCGTCTCTCTGCTGGGCTGTGGTCTTCCTACGGACAGAGTTTTCATCATCTTTGTATCTGAAGCACATAGTAGGTGCTCTTTAAACATTTGTGAAAAGAGTGAACTGAGCAAAATAGTAATAAGTCCCTGAGAGCAGCGGCCACATCAAGTGGACTTGGGGATCCTAAGTCCCTCCCCTTTTTTTTATTTGGAAAGTAGAAATAGCAATCCATGTAAAGTCATATACAAGCACAGATTACCACCCTTAACCCTCTCCTACATAGACATTTTGTAGCCACTACTGAATGGGAGTAACTTAGGCAATTTGTTCTCTCAAAAATCACTGTAGTTTCAGCTACTCTGGAGGCTGCCACAGAAGGATCCCTCAAGCCCAGGAGTTCAAGGCTGTGATGTGCCATCATCAGGCCTGTGGCTAGTCATGACACTCCAGCCTGGGCAATATAGCAAGACTCTATGTCTAAAAAAAAAAGCCGTACAATTATGGCACCCAAAGGAATCTCAATAAAATATCTGTTATACTTACTAATTGCAAATGTGCTACTTTTGAAAGAAGAAAGAAGATAAACGAAGAGAAGAAAAGGAAGAATAGCACTACCAAGTTCCCCTGCATTCATTATATATTGTATTTATATATACTACCCCGCCTGCCACTAACCCACCACAGGGCACACACGCTTGCCTACACCACCTTCCTGATTAGGAAGGAGCAGGTGGCCCCAGACTTCCAACCCCAAGGTCACTTGGATGAAGGTCAACCAGTTGTTCCATGATATGAGGCATATCCAATGCCTCTATGACCAGGTCAACTGAAATGCTGGGAAAATAAATTATATCAGCATGACTATATTGCATTATGATGAAAATCCAGTAAGCATTTTTATAGAGATGCTGCTAGTCATTATTACCTTATCTCTCTATAAGTTAACCTCTGCAAATGAGTGTCTCATGCTTCCTCTTATGGAAGTTGGCAGTTCACTAGCCAGAGATACTTGGGTCTATATCTTCAGTCCTTTTTTTTTTTTTTCTTTTTTTTTTAGATGGGATGCATTGAAGATTTTGAATTTTTCTTGTTTTGCTTTCACTTTTGGTTTTGAGAGGTAATGGGGTAAAATGGGAGGACATGGACTTCAGAGTCAAATATAAGTTTGAATCCTAGCTCAGTCATTCATTTAGACTTCGGGCAATTTCCTTAACCTCCCACATGAGTTACATGTGAAAGAAGTTCGGCGCCAGTAATGACTCCACACCCGGCCAGGACCAAGAGATTTATTAAAAGGGGCTGTTACAGAGGGGATGTGTAATGGGAAAAAAGAAAAAGAGAGAGAGAAAGAGAGAGTAAGAGAGAGAGAGAGAGGAAGTGGGAGAGAGGCGGGGAGAGAGCTGCAGAGAGGGAGAGAGTGACAGAGAGAAAGAGAAAGAGAGACCGTCAGAGAGAGAGAGAGAGAGAGAGAGAGAGAGAGCGAGAGAGAGTCTCTTCAGTCCTCTTTATTGACATATCCAGATTTCCCATATTCTGTTACTAGGCCCCATACTATCTCCTTGTATCAACCCTGCTGTCATCTCTTCACAATTGCTGTCCATTTTGGGAGATTTATTGATTCCTGCTATAAATGATAATAATGACAACGATAATAGCTAGCACATATTGAATACTTTGTGCCTAACACTGGACACTTCCCTGTTTAATCCTCTAATAACCCCGAGATATAGTACTATTATTTCCATTGACAAGTAAAATAACATATTCACAGAGTTAAGTAATCTGTCCAAAGTGAGACAGCTAGAACAAGACAAAGCACACTAGAGCAAGAAACTCTAGCTACCATAACTGGTAAGCCCCCACATCACAGTATCTTATCACGACAATGGTTAATTTCTCCATCACATGCTGGGCCCAGGGAATTAGGGACCCCTGCACATTAGTCCCTGTGCACTAGTGTTCCTTGTAGCCAGACCATCATGGAACAAATGTCAGTCACGGCTTCTGCATGGGATGGCAAAGAAGGCAGCCCCTGAGGGCCTCAGCCCTTCCTTTCACAGTCCAATCACAGGAGTGAGTCACATGGCCCCTACTGTAAGGAAGAATGGGACACAAGGGGAACACGTGTGTACTGAGATTTCATCATCTCAGTACACCAAGTGTATTGGTTCACTCCAACACCCGCACTCTTGACCATCCTAGCTGTCCTCGGCTATACTACCAGAAAAGCCCTGAAGCTTCCCTGCTACCATCAGGACTCCTGACCCCTGCTGCCTCTGCAGTCTGCTGTCACCTTCCTTGCCCTTCCTCTGGACTCTCCATTCCTTTTCTCCTTCACACCCCCTTTTCCTCGCTTCTTTCTGTCTTCCTTCTGCACAACCCATCTGTGTGTTGAGTCTTCTGTCATATCTTTCTTCTGCATGTGACTTCTCTGATCTTAGAGGAGTTGCACTGGTCCTGAGAATATTCTTGCAGTATCAGTGCATTTGTTCTTCTTTGTTCACTTTGGCATGTGACAATAAATGTTGCTTTTTTCTGCTTCAAACAGTTAATCCAAAAAAAGAATATTCAGACAATACAGGTAAGTAAACTGATAGACTCCACTATAATCTAACCCCTCCACAGCATATACATTTGGGTATTTTTCTCTGTTTAAAGGTAATTCTTTTTACAAAAATTGGGTTATAATTTACATATTTTTAAAAATCAGAGTCCCACTCTGTCATTCAGGCTAGAGTGCAGTGGCATGATTCTGGTTCACCACAGCCTCAACTTCCTGGACTCGTGCAATCCTCCTTCCTCACCCTCCCAAGTAGCTAGGAATACAGACGTGCACAACTATGCCCATGTAATTTTTTGGTTTTTTGTAGAGACAAGAACTTGCTGTATTGTTCAGGTTGATCTCAAACTCCTGGGCCTAAGCAATCCTCCCACCTCAGCCTCCCGAACTGCTAGGATTATAGACATGAGCCTGTAACTTGCCTTTTTTTTTCTCCTACTTTTTTTTTCTTCACTATATGTTATAGTGAAGCCACAAGTTTCTAAGCCAGGTCACATTGATCTG